AGATAACTCAAAGGCCTGTGAGTAGGAATAGGATCATAAATTATTGAGAGTTAAAGATTATTTACTAAGCAGAATAATTACAATGAAATTGGACTAAAATGACTCCGAATGCCAAGAATTTCGTGTTACATTGAGTTAAGAGCTAGGGTTTAGATGACCTGGTAAACTAGAGATTTCCCTGACCCTGCCCAGTTTTATCTCTGGGTGTGTGACTGTGTGCAGTGTGGATGTGTGTGTACAGTAGTCTGTTGGATGCTATATTCAAAGGTTTCTGATATGATAATAGGTTTGACTCTTATTTTTAAAAAGACTAAATTAGTGGATACGTGGTCATACTCCTGTACTTCAGCAAATGATATGAAACAGAAAGTATGTACCAAAAAACTGCTCCTTAATTGGTCCCTATGAAACAGGATTAAGTCAAGGATGAGGGTGGGGCTCAAATTGGAATTAACTATTGAGATCAGAAAAGAAAAGGTAAGGTATATGTAATATTTTTGTATGGCTAAACCTTCTCCATAGTTTCCTAAATGTGAATTCTTACTAGAACCCAGGGTTCCAAGTTAAAATTATATATTCTCTCTTATGACTTTCTTCATTCCCACCTACCCCATACATAACCAAGAGAATAGTTACCTCAGTACCAAGATTTACTGGGTATTAGTATAAATCAAGTTTATACTACAAATAATTGAATGGTTGTTACTATCCACTCTTTCACTCCCAGTTAAAACCTATTCCATTTAAGGAACATTACTTTTCCATACCTGAAAATGATGACATAAAGTTGGAATCTCAAAGAATTTGGGAGAAAGTCTTGGGGTGAGTATGTCTTGCCTTTAACCAAACTAAAGTAATTCTGTGCATGAGTTAAGACTGGCCTTGGGGAAAGAAAGAAGAGAGGAGATTTTGAGACTCTTGGCCCATTTTCAGCTGCAGGAGGAGGAGGACCAACCACAAATTTCTTCTCTTTCCAGATTTTTTTTTTTGGCAATACTGTGGATTGAACTCAGGGCCTCACGCTTGCTAGGCGGTGCTCTTACCACTTGAGCTATTACACTAGTCCCTTTTTTGTGTGTATGATGAGGTTTTTCGAGATAGGGTCTTGCCAACTATGTTCCCAGGACTTGCTTTGAATCGCCATCCTCCTGATCTCTGCTTCCTGAGTACCTAGGATGATAGGCATGAGCCACCAGTGCCTGGCTAAGGCTTTGATTCTCAGAAAAATCACCTCAGGTTTATTTCTCTACCCACTTGCAATCTGTATCCTAAAGTCAGAGGCCTCTCTGTTACTGGTCAGAAGTTTAAAAGGTTTTTAGTTTTTGGCAACTCTATGTGGTTGTCTTACCAATGTCTCAAAGTTAACAGATGCCAAAAAGATCCCTGGATCACCCTCTTCCCCTGCCTTCTGCTAACTACTTGCCTACTTACTCACTTCAACTCCACCCTTCACTTCTGTCTTCTCTGCATTTTCAATATCCAGTTTATAAGCAAATGCTGTCACTTTCACCTCTGAATAAATTTTCTCAAAAACACTTACTTCTTTCTAACTCCATCTGCTGTTCTCTACCTCTGCTATTACCAGTCTGACAGACCATCATCTACTTGGTACTGTCCTTGTTTCAGTTCTGCCTCTTATTTCAACACTCACCCAAGTGAGAGCAATCTTTCTTCTTCAAATCTTCAATGGCCTCTCTCTGTGCCCCGCATCTAATTTGCAAGGAGTGAAAAACTTTCCATGCATTAGCCCTGTAATCACAATTTTTTTCCTTCATTTGCTCCATGTCATGGTGTAAGGAAGTGCTCTTAAAATTATACAGTCTTGAAAACTTGCTTGCAATAAGATGCATGTGCCACCCTCTTCTGCCCACTAGATGTAGGCTCTGCAGGAAGCAAAATAGCTCTAAAGTCCAAGGAATGAATCACCAGACTCTCTTGCTTTGGGATATGACATGCTTGATTTATCACAACCCTATTGCCAATGCAGTAGAAACTACAAGAGAGGAATCTCAGCTCTACAGTAGTAGGGTTAAAGAAGAATCTTAGGAGATTCTTCTCTGAGTGTTGACTGATTTCCAAGCTCCTTCTTATCTTATAGTAGATATACTGGCACTGAATCTAAATTGAGCACTAAGAAAATTTTTTTGACAGTACTGGGGTTTGAGTTCAAAGCCTTGCATTTGCTTGGCAAGCACTCTATGACTTGAGCCGCACCCCCAGCTCTTTTTGCTTTAGTTATTTTTCAGATAGGCTCTCGTGGTTTTTGCCCAGCTGGCCTTAGATGACATCATGCCTGGCTTATTGGTTGAGATGGAGGTCTTGAGAACATTTTTGCCCAGGTTGACTTCAAATCAAGAGATTCCCAATCTCCACCTCCCACACAGCTGGGATTGCAGGTGTGAACCACCACACCTGGCTTCCAATCAGTTTTCATGAATTAATGATTCATTGTTTCTTCTTGCTATGTTCCATAATCTATCATAACTGCAATTTCTAAACTTGTTTTTCTACTCCCTAGAATTTGTCAGTAGGCAAATGGTATATGTTTTGGTGCTGAGAGTTTTAGGTATTTGAGGGCTTTTTTTTTTGTGAAATTGAGAGCAGGACATGTTAAGGTACATAGTCTAAACATCTGTTCCTAAATACAAGGGTGAAATCTCAGCTCTTGCTTTTCTAACCCTCAAAAAAAAAAAAAAAACCTCACAGAATTAGAATTGTATTTCTCAAGAGATATTCTACTCTTTTAAATAGTCTCATCCAATGGATTAATTCTGTTTATTTAACCTAGGTCTTCCAAGTCTGCCTTCTGATTTCAAATATATATAATAACTATGCTCAATTTCTCATTCATTAACTATCACAAAGTCAAACTTAATATGTCCACCTTCCCTTAAGATATCACACTGGAAGTAAATTCTTTTTATAGATGAAAGTTAAATGTGTCATCACATTTCTTATGGGTCATTACCTGTATGATCAGAGAGATGGAGAGATCTTACATAAATCAATGTGTAAAATTGAACCTGTGGTTGAAAATTTGTTCCTCCCTTGATACCTTGATGAAATTAATGCCTTTTCAAAAATCTCTCCTATTCCTGAGAAAACTATAAAGCTGTTCCAAACCCTCCTTTCCTTTTATTCTTAAACTTGTGCCCTCATCCTGACTTTTAAATTTATTGTTTCTTTATTCCTGTTCTTTCTATTCATATCTCTATGTTTTCCCCAATCCTAACTTATCTCAGTATTGAATACTTTTCTGCTGTGCCTTATAAAAACTACAGATTCCTGGAAGGAATCTTTCTGACTGACAGCTTATATTGCAAATTATTTTTTATTTTTGTTTAGCTCATGAAGAAGACTAATTACTAAGTTACCTTTAAAAATTGACTGTGGAATTTCTACTATTACTCAGAGCCTTTGAGGCAGTTGTACATATATAAACAAACTGAAACTCCCTTTAATTATATGAACAGGTTTATAGTATTTACATGGACCATGTTTTTATAAAAGAATTAATTGGTATTGACCATTTAAAAGAAAAAACATGACTAAGTGTTAATAAAAGCAGAGGTTATTTTGAAAAACAACTGCTGACTCAGTGACGCACGTTGAGCTTTGTTAAGTATCAGGTTATTCCTATATTGTGTAACATTTTTAATGATAAAATATTCTGTGGCCAATTTTTAATTATTTACACATTTCAATCTAATAAACTGAATGAAAATGTACGTCATAGAAAGGTCTATGAGAGCTATGACAGAACACATAATTTACTGGGTGTGGCAAGTTGACAGCACCAAATGTACAAGAAAAGTTAATATAACTTTATTACAGTGAAGTATATCATTGCAAGGAAAATAACAGTGAAGTTTATAAGAAGCTTTACAGGATTCCTTAATTTAAATACGATACTTCTTAGAAAATAGTTTTTTATGTCCATGAGGCTAAATAAATGAAAAGAACTTATGATATTTTATTTCAGTATTTATGTAGTTCAATACTGAGTCTTTTACAAACATCACAGAAAGAACAGTTTTATGTTAGTTTTACCTGTTCAGCATGGACTAAAATCGTAGAATTAGAAAAGCTCTCCTGCCTTTTGACTTATGGCTAACCAAATCCGGGTGGTGGGGGGGGATATCCATAAAATTAATAAATTCTGTATTTGACTCCGAGTGCAGCAGTATGAACACTCTACTACAATACCTGTGAAAGCTTCATTGTTAAATATTTTCTGGAGGTAATTTTGGCAACACATATCAATGCAGACAGCTACAAGTGCAGCAATTCCTGTTCTAAGCATAAGTACTATGAAAATACTATGCAATGTGTGTAAAACTATATACATAGTATGTATTTATACATGTACATACTTGCTGACACATAGCATATTCATTACACAAATGTGTTCACTCCATCGTAAGTCCTAACAGTAAGCCAGTAAATTCGGGCATACCCATACAGTGGAGTAGGGTACAATGTGACCATTTAAAATTACTAGGTAGATTCAACTTAAGTAGATAGTTTAATACACTTCAAAATGTTTAAAAATCTGTAGATACAAAAAAATCCATAGCATAAAAGATTATTGCTGAGATTTAAATAGTTGCAGATAATAACAGAAAATGTAAATAGCAGACATCAGTGGTTTGTAGAATATTTTCCTTCATCTATTTTTGTGTTTTAGTTTTCTCTAACAAATTTATCAATATCTTTTTTCCAGTAAGTAACGTTACAAAAAAGTTAACGAAGATTTTTCAAAAACCTTTTTTACTTTTTTTTTATTAGCATGTATGAATTATAGGGGAGTTTGGGGGTTTCCTTTGTGACATTTACATATGTATCTTAATTAGATTCACATCCTCCATCATTCTCCTTCAATCCACCTCCCTCCTTCTTAAAACATTTGCAACAAGTTTCATTGTTCTATTTTCATACACGAGTAGGCAATGATGATAGGTATGGGTGCAGATATGTATATGTCCCTTCAGTGCACCTACCTTTGGTAAAGAGGCTCGTGATCCTGAGCTCTGTGTGGTCATTGTCAGCACTGTGGTTATTCCCAAAGCCACTCTGGCTGGAGCTGCATCCATGTTGATCCAGAATGAGACCCAGGACAGAATAACGATAAGGAGACTGGGAATGTACATCTGTATCAGATAGTATCCCATTTGCCGTTCAAGATGGAATCGCACTTCTATACATGTAAACTTTCCTAATTGGTTGTACAATACATGCAACAATTAGTAAAAACAGATCTTTGATATAGGAACAAATAAATATCACAATTAAATTTTCATAATTTTGGAAGGGAGGGGTCCTACTGGGGCTTAAACTTGGGGTTTCACACTTGCTAGGTAGGCTTCACCACTGGAACCAAGCCTCCAGCTTTCCTTGCTCAGGTTATTTTGGAGCTAGGGTTTCTCTTTTTTGCCCAAACCAGCCTGAACCGTGAGCCTCCTATTTAACACTTCTGCTGTAGCTGGAATTACAGCTGGGTACTACCACATCCAGGTTTTTTCCACTGAGATAGGGTCTCATAAGCTATTTTTGCCCTGGCTTGCCTGGAACCAGGAACCTGTCGATTTCAGCCTCCCGCATAGCTTGGGATGCCAGGCCCACACACCATTGCACCCAGCTATTGATTAGGATGGCACTTCATGCTTGTCAAAGTACTCAAAGATCTTATTTTTTACTTGATTCTAATGATGGCTTCCATGGTAGACCAGGAAATGGATATTTACTACACAGAAGCCTTCTTCACTCATTGACTGCTTCTGGTGTTTTAAGTGTTATTTAGAGAACCAGATGATACTAGTTTTAGAGACTTTACATTTACTTTAAAGTCAGTGTTCAGGGATAAATACAACTGAAGATGAATGATTCCTTAAGTAACAACACAAACAGAAGAAAAATGTGTGATGCTTCACATAAATAGTTTTGACATAACTTACAAGTTACATTTGTTCTTTATCTTTATGCCTGTGTGCCTCTATGATCTACCTCCATTATGGGACACAGAAGAGTAATTTTATTTTAACTAGAAATTAAGCTGGCATTTCTGCTTATCCTCTGGTTCCATTCCTCTATTAGCTCTACTAGTTTGTTGCCTCTCCTAAATTTTCTTCCTCTAAGTCATCAAATTCTTAGTTTTATTCTCTTTTTATTCTAGTTATTTTGAGAAGAATGAAGTCAGAGGGCTAACATTGTGCTCTTTATGTAATGCTCTCTGACCCAGTCATGAAAGAAAGATATCAAAGAGCATACCCAGGAAAATTGCTAGAGTGTTGCTAGCTAAGGTTTGGTGCAAAGTTTCTATTAATGTGAGTCAGGTCAAAAGTGATGCACAAATGATGCAAGATCAGTACCTCTGCATGGAAGATGGGTGTGATCCAGGACTTAAAAATCTCAAGAAAGATTCAGAAGCCCTGGGAAAGGAGGAGTCCACGTTTTAATGTCTATTAATCAAAAACATATGTGCAAGCCATGCATGGTCCTTTTGTCAATTTGTTAAACACATACAGAATGCTTAAAGATTCTTAAGATATAGAAAATATTAGATTTTTAAAACACTATTAAGTATGAAGAGCTAAACTTTTTGTTAGGTTTTTAAAGTATGAAGTACTTTCATTATTGAAAGTAATGAAATAAAGTGCAGAAAGATTCAGCATTTTCACAGTATCAATATGACATTTAGTGATCTTATGACATGATTAGTAACAATTTCACTGACTATTTGAATACTTTGTATATTCTGTAAGTTCCATGTGACTCTCAAGAAAAATATGAGCTCTCATTGTATTTTTATTTAAAAAGCATTTTATACATACTTCTGGGAAGGAAAATAAAAGGTATGCACACACACACAGATATACACTATTGTATATATATATAAATATTTATGTGTATATATGTGTCTGTTGCTTCTCTGTGTGTGCATGCATGATGTATGTATTGTGTGTGGTTCTGAAAAGAAAAGTGAACAAGTTTCAAAAAAGAACATCCATTACCTATTCATCACAGCAACAGATTACCAAGCAAGAGGAAGAGAAAAAGATGCATTTGGAGAGATTAGAAGACATAATAAAGCCTTGAAGTACATAACTAATAAATAATTTTGATTAATACAATAAAACTGAAAAAAAACCTTTGATTTTGTGCAATTCATTTATATGTGAAAGAAGTTGTAACTTCAATGTATTTCAGTTTATAGGAGGAGAGGTGATTTGTAAGTGTGGTTCTTATATAACCTAGTGTTTTTCTTTGTTTTGTTTTATTTTTTATTTCTATAAGGAACATAAAGGAACTACTGCTGGAAAATAATTAGCAGACAACTCCTGAATATTATAGGAATAATACAAAATGAAGGTTAGGGTCTGAGGCAAATTAGCCATATACTTGATTAAGGGCATTACTGGATGCTTTTAGTCTTTATATAATTTGGGGCAGGTTTATGTTTTAATCTCCTGGACTATACATAGCTGTGAGACTTCTAGGTCATCTAAGAAAACACTGACCCAATTCTGTGCTTAGAGTCAACATTCATAAATGTAACTTCTTTTCCTCTAAGCTGTTAATACATTGGTAGATGACTTCAGGGAAGTTTGCAGATTTGGTTTATACTAAGAAAGGGTCTTGAGACTATATCATCAAAATTCATCCCAGACTGATGTTTCCATCTTCACTTCTTATTCTAGGTTGAGTGTGTCTCCCTAAAATTCATGTCTACCTAGATCCTAAGAATATGACTTTATTTTAGAAATAAGATGTTTAGTGATGTAATTAAGTTAAAATGAGGTTATTATGGATTGGGGGACACTAATCCAATATTACCAGTGTCCTCATAAGAAGAGGAAAATTTGGTCTTGGATTCATTTTTTAGTAGTATTCAACTTTGAGCTCTGGGCCTTGCACTTGCAGGTGAGGCAGGTTAAATTAGGGAAAGTTTGGGACTGAGACCCCCTCCCTGACTGACCTTAAGAGCTTCATTTTAATTAAAATAAGTTAGAAAGAACAGGGATTTCTTCCCTCACAGGTGGGGCACCTGAAAATTAACAAAGGTGTATATGGGAGTCCTCACAGCTACTCCCCCTGCTCAAAGGTCAACAGAGCCAGGTAATGACATGCCCTTGCCCTTCCCCACTCATTGATTATCGGATGGGACTTGCCTGGTTCCTCCTTTCCCATACATTAGCAGAAGTTTTAAAAGCACCTGGAGAAGAGACACACACACTCTCTCTGCCTCCAGATTCCACCTGTACTCCACCATGCTCCATTTTGTATTTCCCTTCCTTAACTTTTAATAAGCTCTACTTATGCCCGTGTGTCCTGCCACAGATTCTTCCCTGATGGACACAAAGAATTTGAAAGTCTTCTGATAACAGACTCCACCATACTGCTAACAAAAGCAGGCACTCAACCTCTTAAGCCACACCCCCAATCCTAGAAAAGGAAAATGTGGATACAGAGACATAAACACACAGGGAGATCATCATGTGACTCTGGCTGCCAAAGCTAAAGTGATGCATCTACAAACTGAGAAACACCAAGGGTCACCAGAAATAGAAAGCTGGAAAAAGGCTGGGAAGTACTCTTCCCCAGGGCCTTGACAGAAAGCATGGCTTTACTGACGACTTCATTCATCTAGCTTCCAGAACTGTGGAAAATATGTTTCTGTTGTTTGATGCCACCAACTTTGTGACAGTTTGTTATGACAGTCCTAGGAAACCACCCTACCCTTTTCAGCCTTTCCCTGAAAGGAGTTTATCAATAGGACTGGCTTAGACATTGCTACTGACTTGCCTGCTCTTTGTCTTTGAGTTGAGATGTTAACCTTAAACTCCCTCATAAAACCTTCACATCTGAGTTGAAAAAATGGCAGTGACTTTTTTTTTCGATAATGTGAATTATTAAGGAGATAAGAGACTGGAGACTAGGGACTTTGTAGGGTGGAAAGATCACAGTTCTGGAAAATGCTAAGGCCAAGATGAGTCATAGTTTACAACAGCAGCAGCTGATGTTAGTGGCAGGCCATGCACTTACCACATTGGAGAGATGCTTCAATTGCAGGCAGTTTAATGGACTTTATAGGAATAGGTTATAAAGCTAAAATGGCATTATGGGGATAGTCCATATCACTTAAGAGAAGTGTCCGAATTTCATGAATCTAGAAATACCACAGTCTCTGTTACCTACTCTCAGAGGCACAAAGTTCCTGTGTCGATGTAAGTAACAGGTCCTTAAGTAAAAATGCCTTGAAATGCAATGAAAATATGGCCAAAGGGAACACTTAAGCAAATGAATACTTAAAAAAAGAGCAAATCTTTTAATTTTGTTAGCAGATACAGTATTTACTGCCTAAGATGAGATAAATACTGTTTTTCACATAGAAAATAAGGGAACATTTTAGAAACACCATTATTACTTAAGTATGGGCTTTTCACAACAAGTTATTTAAATATAGTCACCAAGTATTTTTTTTTTTGGTCCCATACAAATCAATTACACAACAATCCACAATGAGTCAAGGCATCAACAAGCCTCAAATGCATCTACCTTATGCTGTATGACTATGGAAAACATTGAGCTACAAATAGTTAAAGTTAGTAAGCTGGCAGTATAATTAAGAAAAATTTGTATATCATGAAATCACAAATCATAAGTAGGAGAATACTTAACCCCTACCTGTATTGTAATGTTTAGTGCAGTATCGTAAATCTTTTTCTTCTTTCAACAGAAATTGGGGCAAAGTGAGTCCTTCTGCCACTTGTACTGGTGCTTCATCTTGCCATTCAAAAATGAGATCATTCATTGTGTACCCAACTAGGCAAAACATTATAAAATATTTACAGCCAAAAAGGACATTGGAAGAAAGAAACACAAGCACATTTGTCTCATTTCAGAAGACCTAACAGTGTCTTCTTAACTGTATCAACTGAGCTACGATTTGCCTGATTCCATTTCACAAATATCTACTTACTTAGAATACTCACTAAATGATACATGAAAATGAAATAGGCATAGAAAAACTATAACATAACAGGTAGCACTTTAAGGAATACACATATGCATCCTTTTCTTGGGACAAGCAGCTGGTAGATTAATTCAGCAATTTTCATTTTTAGTTCTACTCCATTGGTTCTCCAGTCCCCTTTTCTCCAGTTATTCAAGACTCAATCAACAAAAACTGAAATTGTCACTGGTTAGAAAATGACTTAAACATTCACCATCTGAGTGGCAAAGCACTCAGTTAATATTAACTATTTTTAGTTTACATTATTGGCTTCTATATTTTAAGTTTCAATATGGACAAAAAGATTTTTTAAGTAGAAGTGTTCTAGTTAGGGCTGAAAATAGTACAAAGACAATCCACATGGAATACTACCAGTGAATTCAGCATAGAATTAACTAATGGATTTTGCAATAAACTAGCAGCTTTTAGTAAACTAAAATGCCATATTTATACATGGGAGGGATCTAAGAAAAGTAGAATTTTTTTCTTTTTTTTTCCCCTCTGAATGAGATTCTATGGAAATTTATGTTTGGAGGTTATTGGAGAGAAGTCAAAAGTGAATGTGGATCAGGATTGTGGTTACTCTGATCAATGAGCTCCTTTATGCACACATATCATGGGAGGTAGAAAGAGAGGAAGTATGGTGTGGCCCCTGCAGTAAGACAGATGGTCAAAGGAAGCAAAATTTCCAGGTCTATGAAGCTACACACAGGGGGACCTTTACTAAATAAAATTTTCCCCAAACAAGCTTGTATTGTAGAGAAGAAGCTATATGATGAGAAACAACTGTTATGCAACAGGTTAGGCAGAACAGAGCAGTGGTTAAGAAAGGGAACTGATCACTCTCCACACTCCCCAATATCTGGAAAGGAACCTTCCAGAGAGAGCTGAATCTGATCTAGCTGTGGTGATAGTGACTCTGCCACTTCCACTTGACCATTAGGCATAACTAGCAGTGTCTAATCCCTGAGTGGGGAGTGGATCCAGCATCTAGATTGGAGGGGGATACATCAAATTTTGGTTCTAGAACAGACAGGGTGATGCACAGGACTAATCTCTGGACTGTTACGTTTAGTGTAGCAAGAATTTAACACTTGCTTACCCCAGAATATGTTTCAGTGAACCCTGAAATTAATGATTTGATTAGCAACAATGGAGGGTTTTCACTTTTATTCATAAATCTTTTAGTTTTCTCAAGAGAGAATACAGGTGCACATTTCTCGATGATCTAAAGATAGTAAAATAGGCACTAATTCTTATTAGCTGCCAGATAAGACATATATCTTATTCTTCATACATATAATCACTGAAGACAAAATATGTGAGATTTTGTCCCAGTGTAGACAGATGAAAGGTAAAATAAGCTGAAACTTCATTTCATTTTGACATACTAAATTTTTTAAAAGGTCTTCTGTGGAAAGAAACTTGCTCTCTGAAAGTACCTAATTAGTCTCTAATCCATATGTAATTTGCTCTTGTGTTAAATAAACATTCACATTAAGTGATTTAGGAATGGGGATTTTATAATCTACTGTTGTACATGATTGTAATCCATAAAATATTTATTTTTGAAACCTAAAGGAAAATAATGAGATGGCTAAGTTTAGGAGGTAATTCACTTATTCTGAGTAACTTCTTGAATGTTTAAGGCAACTACATGCTACCATTGCCTCCATAAAACTTTAAACAAAACTTTGATCATTTTTCTTTTGCAAAGTTCAACTGTCTTAACATCCTTGTGCATGCTCTTGGTTAACAGACTTTATAGAAGTCTGAGAGTACTAAAGAGAACAGATTAGCTAATGAGATCAGTATTGTCATTTTAATTGCCTTGTACCCTAATAAGCTTCACAATGAAAATAATTTATTCAGGGAAGAAAGACATTAACCCCAACTTTAGCCAACAATATCATATGGGAGCTGTGAAATATGCAAATAAATGACTCAATGCTTGTTTTTTCAACAGATATTAATTAAATGCCAACTGGGCATCCTGCCTTATTTGAGGTGAACCTTGAAAACAAGGCAAGATCTTCATATAAAGATTGTGAGAGAATGCAAAGCACTTTAAGAAAAATAGCAAATTTATTTGAAAGAAACCAAAAACTCCCAAAGGTTTATATTAGAAGGTAGAAATAGCTTCAGTCATCTAGAGACAATTTTCACAAAGAAGCATATGAAATGAACACATAAATTAATTTAAGCTTGTATAAAGTTTGAATTCCAGGTTGAACAGTTTGATTATTTTTTTAAATTCCCTGTGAGCAATAATGAGCAAGTGTAATCTTTTGAGCAAGAGAGTGACATCACAAAAACAATCCTTTGAAAATATTACTCTAGCATGACCCTTTCATGAGATTCACAAGGTTAAAACCACTTTCATCATCATATTAAGATGTTATTTGCCTTCTTCATTGTTTTGATATTTACCTTGAGGTTGAAAAAAACAATAGTGGGTAAAACTTCTAGTGCTTTAGTACAAATAAAGGCAGTGGCACCAGGATGTGCTGGAAGTTATTGTATTCTTTACTGCCTTATCCCTTGGTAAAAACAATGCCACTTTTATTTAAGAATGCCCTTGATCCCCAAAGAAGAAGTAAATATCTTGCAGTAAAAACAATGTCACTTTTGCTTAAGAATGTCCTTGATCTTTGATATAGCAGTAACAAGTATTAATTTTATTAAATCTTGATCCTTAGGCAAATGTCTTTTTAATATTCTCTGTGGCAAAATGGGACATGTATTTAAAGAATTCAACTGCATACTTAATAGAATGATTCTTTCAAGGAAAAGCATTGGTGTGATTGTGAGTTGCAAGCTGAACAGGTGGTTTTTTTTTAAATGAAACATCATTTTTACTTGAAACAATGGCTGGTAAACTGTGGTTATTATGACTGAGTATTGACAGACCATTTTCTTGAATAGAAGGGAAGTGAACTTGCCATGTCAAGAGAAACAAGTGAAACTATTTTACTGTCAATAATAGATTTTGAACTTTCAGGTCAGAATTAGCTGGTAGATCTGAATAATACATTGAAACTTATATTTTCCAAAGACCAAAGCATGATGTTAAAAAATCATGCATAGATAAAAGATTTGTTCTAAGTGCAAGATAGAAAAATCAATTTTAATTTAAAAGAGTATGAAGAGTGCACTAATTTGGCTTCCAGTTTCATATTGCAATGAAGGTGGGCTAGGTTAGGGATAGTGTAGGACTGCTCCCTCTCTTGGCTCAAGGAATCCTCCCCCTACGCCATAGATGAGAAGAGTCAGGTCATGCATATTGTCTCCCCACCTTCCAGGTGGTGTAAAAAAGGCCTACCAAGAGACCCAGGCCCTTCTTCCCTTCCCTCACCTGGCAGAACGGGTCATTCCCCTTCCCTCAATAAAGCTATTCTACCTCACCCCATCTACATGTTCAGACTGGATTCTTCCATTTGGCATGCAAGGACCAAGAGGCAACCGAAGGGTGAGTTCCCAACATGCTATCTCTACTAATTCTTGTTACTTCAATCTACCTTTCTCTGTCTTCTGATCCCACACTTCTCCACCTAATATTTCAGAACCAACCACCACCCACGGCTTGGATGGTGTGGGACATCCACCTGATGCTCGAGACTCACTCAGAGCCCCAGCACAGATGGGCTGCAGGATGCAAAATTCGCCCGAGGCACTCATGAGCTCCGTGAGGCCCAATGCACAGGGTTGGTGTCCTAGTTCCCTGGTCCTGCCCCAGGGGATAGACCATATTAAAAGCTAGCTGCCCCTTTCCTAACCTTACCCTCCCTAACGCTTAACTCCCTCCCCATCCTTTCCTTAGTCATGCTGTGGGAGATCATACTCTAAGGTCTCTAACCCCCATGAGGCAGGGGACAATTAGGAATGCCCCCACCATTCAAGCTGGGTTCCTCACCCCCCTTTCTTTCTCTTTTCTCTCTTTCTCCTTCTCTCCCGGGGGAGACACACCTCACCTCACTCAGCTCATCCAACCCAGTTTTTTTTTTTTTTTTGAAAAAATAAAAAAAGCTGCCTCCTGAGGGGCTGACTGACACCTGCCCTGGGAAAATATGGCTGCTCAGGAGAGCAGGGGAGGAACCCATGCGAACAGGGAGTGAATACATTGCAACCTGGGTTGGGGGACTTGCGTGCCCCTGCCCCTACACTTGTCCCCAGGGGGAATAAAACTACAAGGGTGTAAACCTGCCAGGCACGCACTCAAGCAAACAGAGCCTTACCGCCTGGTGCCGACCACTGCCAGCACCTAAGGTACACGTGCACACAGCTTCCCACCGCCCTCCAGGTGTGCAGAAGTGGGAAACCGGAAGTCCTGCCTCCAGCCGGAAGTTTCGGTCCAAAGGACCAGAAATCGCCCCCATGGGCCACTGCTCTGTGGACCTCCAAAACTCCTGCTGCCACCATCCAGCAGGAACTCTAGTCTCGCCCCACAGGCTGCTGCTGGCACGGACTTCCGAAACTCCCTCCGCTGTCTGGCTGGATCTCTGGTTTGGCCCTGTGGGCCACTGCTGGCATGAGACTTCTGGAGCTCCCACCCCACATGCAACCACCTGGCACTGCCATCCAGTGAGACTTCCGCCCTGGAGGCCATTGCTCAGTGCAGTCCTCCACCCCACCCTTGTGCCTACACGCAGCAGAAGCCCTGGCCCCTTTTCTCAGCGTGGGCTGGAAACCCCATCTAGCTACCACATGACACTGACATGTGTCAATAACACACAGCGACCATGACTACGGAGTGTGTGTGCTGCAGTAGTTACAGCTACGGCTGCAGCATGCGAAGGGACTACAGCATCTG